ATATGAGATCCATGAGGTAAATGTGTTGGGAACAGGTTCGCCAAACAAAAATATCCCATTTGTTAAATCTGAGGTGTCTAAAGTAAACAAACGCCTACGAATGATCCTATAGGGTGGCATTTGCATTAAATACTCTTAAGATGTTATTTTATTCTTCAGGAACACCGAGGAACGCCAAAATATGCTAAAGTGCGATTTCACGTTTTATGTTGCGTAAACCGGCAAAAAATGCAAATCGGCGATGGTCAATGACCTTGACATTTCGCTCACTTAAACAAAATGCTACGTGCAACATGTCACGGGAAGGTGCAAATTGATTAGACTAACTCCGCATTGAAATATCAACCTCGAAAACCCTATAGTTTCGGCGAAATCAATTTGGGTGTTCCAACAGTCTGCGGCGAATCGCTAGGTTGTGATGTCTCCTGGCGACTGAATGTGCCGCACCAGGGCGCCGCATGTTGCAGCCACTATTCGACGTATCGCGATACACATATATTTGTAGTGCGCTACTCACAAGGCTGCTGAAAACTCCACGACAGCTGGCGACGAAATTTGTTTTACAATTTAGTGTATTTCGTTAATTTTGAGCAATTTGGTTTCAAGTAGAACATAAGGTTGACAGAAAACCGGAGAATAAGCTTAGCTGGTGAGCGCTAAGAAGGTTGAAACCGGTCGTGGGGTCTAGAGGAATTTTCAGAAATCGTATGAGTAGTGCATTACAGACATGTACAACCTTAATTACTGCGCTTCCGTACATCGGCTTTCCTTTTGGTTTTCATTCAAAGGAATAGTTGTCAACTCCAACCCTTAGGGAATCCCTGTCCTCGAGTGTCCCCTTAACCTGCATACTAGGTTATCCACTGGTCACACTACGTTGCTCACGTGACCTTACGAAGTTGCAATTTTGAACCAATCGTTCGCCTGTGTCTGTCCCGCCAGCTACCCGAGTGTTTGCGTGCATTGCTAACCCGGCCTCACGGCTGTAAAGATCCTGGGTGTTACGTCCCCTGGACGTTTCCCGGCGGCAATGGACGTAAAATCAGGTGATTCCGGGAGGTAAGTGTAGCCGACTTATGGGTTGGACCGTACATGGCTGCGCTTAATTAGACATTGTCGTCTCACTACTGGAACACGCGAGTTAGCAAAAACTGACGACTGCTCAAGCAATGGGTATATGTCAAACAAACCAGCGGTGTGATCTTTAAGCCCTCTTAATAATAAGTGTAAGTGACTGTGCCTGAGCCGGGCATTCATGAGAAGTAAAACTAGTTGTCAGTATATATGAATTCTTCTGTGGGTGGGATCGTCCCGTTTCATAAAGAGTGGATATGATATTGTTCAGCTAAGCTGCCTGACAAAAGATGCTGCGTGGAGCTTTGTTATAGTCGATTCTGTATAATAACAGGGCTTAGCGGTAATAGATACACTGGAGGAAATCAGTTTACTCCGCGCAGCATTCCTTGCAGAAACAGATACGGATTATTCGTGTGTCTGTTTACCTTTGTGATAATCGTCCTCGGCTAGAAACTCCGTGTGCATGTTCCACAATGGTTTTGGATGGCAGAGATTTCTTCAGTAATCGTGTGGAGAGGTAAGGATGGTGACCTTTTCGTTAGAGGCGGTAGTTAGCGAGGAGAATACTGCAGCTAGATGTGCCCGGTTGGGTTAAACGACCGAGCGCGAATATCGCAAAACGCACATCTCTTGCTTACCCATTGAGAAGCACGTAGGCCTTGGTAGCAAACAGAACGATCAGAACCGGGACCTCCAACGCCTTCCGTATCTCGGCGAATCTTTACAATCCCTGGTGTCAGATGCGCAAATCGTTTGCTAGTGGCGGAACTTCTACCTGCTGTACTGCTCGCCGAACTTCGTCCAAGCACCGGATCCCTAACAACCCGATGCGTTTGCTGAAAGCTCGGCGACAACTTCCTCCTGTTTGCATTCATAGCTCAACTCGACGCACCCTCTAGCGCTAAGTGAAACCGAGATCCCCTGCGGACCGGGGAACATCGTGGACCCGAAAAGCCGAAAAAACGGAAGAAGCGAAAAATTCTGGAAAAGTCCGCAGCTTACTTCACTTGGTTCGTTCAATATCCAGCAGAGAACGTTTGAGACGTTGGGTGGATTTCTTCGGACAAGAATTCAGTTGACTATCTGGTACCTAGATCTGGACTCTCGACCTTTAACGGCTACGTGGACTGTAAGTGTGGGGCCTTTCTGGGCCTCAAAAGTGCCCAATTGTATATCCCTACTGATGCGTCGTCGTTCTCATGGTTTCAACGACCTTACACCGGCTCTATTCAAGGATTGTGGTGAATTTCTCAACTACTGCCTATCTTGTTTATTTGCCTCTATCTGGGTGAAGTAAATCGCTCCAGACAACAACTTCGTTATGGATGAAATAATTGGACAAACACTTAGGATCCTCAAAACCCCGGTGTTCTAGTCGTCCCTGATAACCTTGACGATCTGAGGTCTGCAGATGCTATTCTCATTTTCCAAGATAGCACGAGGCACAAGCTATGTTGAATAAAGTGGCCACCATCATACCGTTTTTCGAAACGCGCTTTGCACCTACAAAACACAAAGTCATGCTTCAGAACTTGCAGTCTCCGAACATGTCCCCTGCAATTCAAGATGAACCACTGGAGATTGTGAAGAATTTCACTTACATCGATAGTCGTGTTAGCTCTGACGGAAGTGTGTCTGATGAAGTCATTGAACGAGTCATTGCCCAAATCACGTTTGCCATTTTGCGTCACTGGTGGCGTCATATAGGTGTAGCGCTTGATTTCAAGGGTAACGCGTACTAGACTAACTTAACTGCTGTATTGTTATACGGTCACGAAATATGGCATATGCAGAGAGAGGTTGTTAGGCGTCTTCGGGATTTCGACCACCGATGTCTCAGAATCGTTGTCGCCGTAGGATTGTCCCAGTGGTTACGCAACCGATTATTCGGCAGGCATTTCAGTTCGGGAAAACATTGTCGAAATATTGTCCAGTGAGACGAGTGTCGTCCTTCCTACTTCCTTAATGAAGCCAGCTGCGCAGAGGACAACCTATGGCGTGGCAGAGGGATGTGGAAGAGCCTACAAAACGTTTACGTGCTGCGGGTGCCGTTGGCCATCCAGGATGAAACCCGCTTGAAATCCCATGCGTTTGATTGGAGACGGTGGAAGGAATGACGCGTGATCTTTACCAGTAGTGCTCATTTTGTTAGTTTCTTTTCAGGTTGTCCGATTGAGCGTTTAAACGTGCAGGCTTTTATCCGAGTGGAATTTGGTCCCTGCCGCACGCATCATCCTATGTAATAATGGTTGCACGGTGGTGAAGATCCTCAGCCTTATCATGGTGTGACGATCTGTCTACCTCCGCGACCCATTGAGCTATACTCAGGGATGTCCGTACGACACTCGCAGGGTCCCTAATACCAGGTTGGTCAATGGTTGGAGCTCTGACGAACACAATCTCCTGGTCCTCCGGGTTGGGGGTTGTAACACATGTGGCGAGTTATCCCTTATATATTGAAACGCACCTGCATTTACCACCACTTGCGGTTGGGTCGACGACTAGTCGGGGATCCTAGTCGTCCTGTCCACGTGAGAGCGCCATGGAAATATCTCATCCCACGTACAAACATGAATTGCACACGCAGATGAACTCATGCCACATCGGCCTCCGCGTGGTGCCATCAGCCGAGTGGCATACAGCACGGGCGTATAAGCGTAAACAGTCTACTACTGACGCATCCCTTCTCTTAGGAAGCGAGTGGTCGACTATACAACAGAGGCTTCCATTGAAGGATGTGTCCAACATGAGAGGCTACGTTGTTTAGGCCACTTATCGCGTATGTTGAACCATCGTTAGCCTAAGAGTACTGTTTTCCATGCCCAATTCAGGGTGATGAAAGCAGAGAGGTGGCCAACCCCTGACCTGATAAAGAGTATGAAAGAGGTCACGGAGCGTTTGGGTGCTGGGTGCGACTCACCTTCCGGGATGGTGGCCGAGTGATCCCCGCTTCGTCTGGTTGGAGACGCTGCAAGACATGACTGCCCATGGATATTAATGTCGTTCTTGTTGTCAGTTTCCATCCAGATTACCTGAATAAGTTTTTGGAGGTGTAGGCACCCCGAAATGATTGCAGTAGACTAGCACTAAGTCCCTTTCCCCGTCCACTTTTTTCTTTTCACAATAAGATTTTCAAGTAATTCGTGGTTGTACGATAACGGATCACCAGTTTTGAACATATATCATGGTGTTGTTGTTGATGATGATGATGACACTGATGTTGCTCCTTCTGATGATTATCATGATGGTGCAGCATACTTTTTGGGTTATATGTTTCCGTTCAACATCTGTCTAATTTTACGGCAGTGACTGTTCTCTTTTTAGATTTGTGATTTGTTGACGAGAACACAATTAGCCTGTGGCCCCTGGCGGACTAAATAGCTGTAGTCCCTCTGTACTGGAAGAAATTGTAAACGTGAGAGACAAACTATCTACCGTTATGGAGGTTAGAGGATTGTTTCCCTACTTGTGATTTCCCACTTGTAAGCTCACTAAGAACTCACGTTTTCTAGGACTTCTAGTGGAAACATGTCCCCGATAGAATACAAACGGCTGTATACGGCCATCGGTCAAAGTTGAATTTAGTAACCAGATGTAGGTGAGCTGAGCTCGTAGGAGCTCAAATTATCTTTCAACCGAAAAGGTTTCAATGTCATAATATTTTGTACATGAAATTCCAAGGTCTTCGAGTCACACTCTAACTCTGACAAACATATCTGAAGCAGAACCCATCAAGTGTAGAACCTTCATTTTCCTTTAATATCATGCCAAAATGTAGTCCCTAAGTAAGCCTAACTTTTGTTCCGTCTACACGTCCTAATCAGCTGAATGTTGCACACATTTTACAACATTTCATATCATATTTTAATTCCGAGCTAAGCGTGCGCTTCTGGAAATCGAGGTTTCTATCCTCTCGTTTAGCCTTTAACTTGTCTGTTTTATACTCATTGTCTGTCCTTTACAGATGCAAGCGGAAAGCCCGAGGCGAGGAAGATGATAGATGGGAGTGTAGCGTGTGCACTTACATGAATCCAAGCGAGTCATACAAGTGCGAAATATGCTTTATGCGCAAAGGCACATCAACGAGGTTTGTTCTAGGTTCCGTTGGGCACGAGACTTGGTGTTTGTTTTTGTAGAAAACCGAGGCTCAATCCTCAAGTGGTCGAGCAACAACAACTCATCGCACAAGCAATATTGAAAGAAAAAGATGAAGAACACCGAAGGCGCAAAACGGAACGGTGTTTAGAAAAAACTAGTTCACTTGGCAGGTAAACGACACACTGTAGCACATACTAAAATAAAAACAGTTCCGTAAAGCTGAAGAACTTTGACCGCTCGTCTCCCTTGCTGTTTGAAATATTTGCGAATGGATATAGTGTGGTGATTACCGAGTTCCAGTTGCGGTCTAAGGTGAAGTTGTCCCAGCCAGAAAGTCCTGCTCCGTCCAATGGTTCATCTTTACAAGTAAGTGGGGTTTCTTGGCCTTGTTTGTGTATCGGTCTGTTTCAAAACTTTATCCCTTTATTTCTACTGCTAGTTACCATTTTTGGAGGACAGTGATATCAGTCAAAAGTGTCGCACCATAATAATTATTTTCTAGAGAGTACACTCATCGGACTAGTGGCACGCCACCAGGGACCTTGGACATTATGAAATTTGTGGGCTGATATTTCTCAGCTTTACGCATTTTCTGCGCTAATAGTCAAAATTTTTCTATGTGGCGAAATCGGTTTGAAATCCATCCTGATATTTTTCGAACCGACATTCCAAAGTTCTTCCATAATCAGCATCAGGGTTACTCAGCTCTGGAGCACCTTTGTCTGAATATGATGCTTCCCACATACTAAAGCCATTTCGGTCCGCCTACCTGATGATTGAATGTGGCCGTCAGGCTCCTGGTAAATGCTGTAATTTACGGACGACGGCAGTTGCGAACGAAGTTCATCCCTGAGAAAAACTGCAGGTATCAACTTGGTCCAGGTACGAAAAAAGTTGTCTTTGTGGTCCCGGCCTGCCAAACAGCATTTACACTCATACTCTCATAAGCTTACAGCACTGAGCCTTGGCTGAATAAAATCCAAATTAGGCCGGTTGGAGACCTCAGCTAAACATTTTTCCGCTGTGCTCTCCAGGGCTCCCCGTACACACCCTTTTGCTGTGACAGGAATGTGAAGAAATCTGAATTTTAAATGAAAAGCTGATTATCTTGCAAGACAGGACAACGTAGTCGTTGAATGCAGTCGGCAGCATTGCCCACAAACCAAAGTGGATTTCGACCAGATTCTTTACATTGTATCTTATTTTAACCACTTTTCATTCCAGGACGATTTCTCCGTACATCAGGCAGTCGTCCCCTCAGCATGTCATCTGCATTACAAGAAGCATACAAATGATTTTGTCATGCTATGCTTCGCTTTACTTCTGCTATCCCTCAACAGGTCAACTCGGCTTCCCGGCACCTCATCGACCTCTCTCTAGTTACCCAGTACATCTCGTTTCACATATATTCCCATCAAATAGGATACATCCCTTATACGTAACGCTCAATGCTCGTAGGTCTGCTGGAAACTTTTTGACCGCCTACGGCCGGTTTCGCCCTATTCGTGGTTCACCGGCTAAACGCGGTCCCCGAATTTCCGTCCAAATTACACGAAGTTCGGCAACTACACTCTTGCGTGCCAGTTCGGCTTTCACTGGAGACTCAACTGAGTACCATCTAAGTCTCTTGTCTATCATATTCTTCAACCGAATGTCCCACACAAACGCTGCCTCATGTTTTATTTCACGCATTCGAGATATCGCAATATGTATTCATGAAGAGAACTACACGTAAGTTTGCTGAAAACTCTGACAGCTCACGACTTATTTCGCTCTTTTTGGAGCTCATCGGGTAGGCGCCGTCCCCTAGTTTCGTCAACCTGCTATTCTACTCCAACCCAAACTGGGTGGAATTCACCAAATTCTCTGATTTGCGTATCAGTTGGGTTTTGACGGGAGACGACTGAATCCAGTCGAATCTCTTTTGTAGTGATCTTCAGCTGAATTTAATTTAATCCCTGTTCAAGTGTAATATGAGGTTGACGGAAAGCTCGGGACTGCACCTACCTGGTGAGCCCCAAGAGGAGCGAGACCGGTCGTGGGCTGTCGAAGGGTTTCCAGCAAGCTTGTGCGTAGTGTCATGTCCAAACAACGTATTGCGATTTCTCGAAGGTCGTACCAAATGAAACATGAGGTGGCCTGGTGCAGCACATTCAGTTGGAGAAGACCATTATGAGCGAAGGATTCGGTCGGATTCAGACAAGTCTCCGGTCAAAATCAAATTAGTATACAAACGAGAATATTTAAAGACATTCTCATTAAGAAGTAGGAATGCTAGGACCTGGCCGTTGAACCACTGTTCATCCTTTTGTCGGTTTTAGTCTGATCGAATTAGTGTGATTGGGAAAACCAAAACCAAAATGGATTACTTGAAGGAGGAAACCAAGAAGAGAAAATTGTGCGCATATCTAGGATATCTGGCATGCCGCCAAACACCTTGTACGACTAATCCAGGTCTCACTACTTTCCCCGAAATACTGATGAATTGATGCGAACATCTTGTTCACGCAGTGGAATCGTTGGCAGTCTTTGCCTACTCAGTTTTTCACATTTTTGCTGCCGTAATCAGCGAAACCATAGCCGTCATTACATTTTAAAATACAATGCTTTCTTTGCGTGAAGGCCTCTTCCAAAGATAACGGAATCGTTAGGCTGAACTGTTAGAGCAATGCATTGAGAGCAGCACAGTTATATTTCCGTGCATTCCCGTCCGCTGCAAAACTTGTACAACAAAGAAAACCAGGCGAAGTAACAAATTACAGCTACGATAAAGTTCTTAAATGGTTGTTGCTCATAGGTGTTACTAAATTAGATGCTAGTGTTGTACCTTTTTTCTTCAGACAAGTGTCAGAAAGTGTAAACTGAAATTTCGCCTGTTTTATGAGTAGAACCTCTGCAGAGAGAGGTGCTCATGCCTCTGTAGAACAAACAGATAACGGCCTTATCTGCACTCGAATGAGTCCGCTATTCAGAGGGCTTATGTACCATCGTAGTTATTTTCAAAAACTTCGTCCGTATTTCCAGCTTCAAACTAACTGCTTTTGTTTCGGATTGCAGGGATTCCCCGGTGGCATTTTCTCCAGTACTGATCAATTGTCTCCCACAGACTCCAATTCGACTGTTGACGCCAGTCATAAACCGATTTCCTGCGGCGAATCCGAGTTGTTCGAATCGGTTGAAACGAAAACACGATGCTCTTTTCCCACGAATAGAGTTGGACACTCCAGCAGTGGTAAATCCACGCACGCCTCATATCCGCATGAGTCTGTTTCACTGTCCACGCCATTTTCAAAAACCACCGGACGTTCTTTAGCTGGGTCCGACTGCGCCACTGATAACATGACCTCACATATGGTAGGTATCAAACAAGATGAAACCAGTGAACCAGGCAGAGAACCAAAGTCTTCCTCTTCTACCAGTGTGCCTTGTTCATCTCGGCGAATAAGACTCAAACGCTTACAACATACCCCAGCTACTCAGCCTATGGCGAAAGGGGTTTTCAATACATGCACCGTGTATGATGGCAGGAATGAAGCGCCCGATTCCTCAACGTGTGAACGACTTTTAGCTCCTTCTCAGACAAATCAGCCTCCTTCGTCTCGACTTAGGCGACACCGTTTCCATTTCGATCCACAAAACACTTATGTCTTCTCAACTCCCCAATCCAAGTGCAGTAAAGGGCATTCCAGAGGTTTGAATTTGGCGAAATCCGGTAGCCAACGCTATCTCAAAAGCTCTACAAAATCGCGATCCATTGGTTCGCGAACCGATGTTACTTGGTCCAGTAAATCCCGACAAAAAACGTCAACCCAAAGACCTTTACGAATAACTGTTAGTCGAGTTAATACTTCTGCTGCATCCAAACATTGCAAATATGAATCTAGTTTACCGACATCTAGCCCTAGTGAGCACCATCCGACAAAGCGTCGCCACAGCACAACTCGATCGAGCTTAAAGTGTAAGATTCGTGTACGCGCACCAGCACATCCGGAAGGTCTGCTCTCAGAGGACACAGATAATGCCGTTCATGAAGCACTGTTATCGACAAAAAAATCGAAGGTATTGTCGGATAGTCCAAAAGTTGCTTCTCCTGAATCTCCTACGGCCAATCAAGAACTCAATCTGAATTCCCACACGAATCTTTCAACCGAGTCCCGAAACACCAGTGCAATGACTGACAGCAGTGGAGCCAGTGCTCTGGAAATGTCTCGCTAACCTTCATCTTGTTTCCTGTGTTCTGATGCTCCAAGTTCCGTCTTGTTCGCCACAACTCGCTACAGTTTTGTTTCGCGTATGTGTGCTGATTTATCTGTTAGTTTTTTGTCCGAGTTTCTTCTAATCTTTGTATTATTTTGACACGTTTTGCGTTTCTATTCTCTCCCTCTGGTCCATCCATTCCCCTGTTCAACGTGTACGCACATAAGCAGCCCATGATTTAATGTGCCTTGCCTCATGGTTGACCAACTGAATAATGTTTCATCCGAACAACCGCCCGGTGACTTGCCTCTACCCTCATATTCACGTTACAAACCCATGTATATAAACCAATTCATTCGGCGCTGGTAGCTGAACTTATGCAAACTTATCACCTTCAGAATGGGATTTCGTCTAAGGCGTTTTGCTACCCTATTTGTGCAGCAGATCTCATGCTTGTGTTTCGTTAATGTGAAGAAAGTGCATTTCGATAACGTGTTGAATCTTTTTATTTATTTACAGCGTGACGTGTTTGGTCGGTGCCGTGTGTATGTCGGAGTACAAGTATGCCGGTTTATCTGAGTTGCAGTCATAAGCTAGTGCATTCCGAAGAACCATTTTCAACAGCAGTCTTGCTTCTGCTGTTCATCATTTCCCGAAGGAAATCTAATGGCTGGTCGGAATGAAAGCTATGAATCCTCCAGACCAGTGAAACTTTGAGAGATCGGGATAGGCCTCATATGATGGCATGACTGATTCGACAGGAGCTTTGTTGGTTACGTTAATTGTAGACCACCAGCCAGGCACAAATGTGGCATTTTCAGTCCTGGATTGTCTGAAACCACAGATGTCAGTCGTGTACGAGGCGCTTCATAGTTGGACTGATCACAAACCGGTTTCTCCAATAAACAACAAACTGACTTGCCCATGAGTTTAGTTCTTTCTTTTCAACATTGAATTACCCATATAGGATCCGCACATTTTGCAAAGAGTTGTCTAACTGAATGGTTCATGTTCTGGAGAGAAGTTTTAGCGCAAGGATCTGTGTTCTGTTGTCTCCAGACTGCTTCCTAACAGTAGGTGGTCTTCAAGTTGATTAATGTGTCCAAAGGAGAACCTGCAATGTATGTAACTTTTCATTACACATAGGTCTTACTACATTGTACACCTCTGGAGACTTGGACCGTGTTCAAACAAGTGCATCCCACTCACAGGATGCTTCTGAATGATTTTTTGTTCCATTCGGACTATTGTGTGTCTGTCGTAAGCGGCAAAAGTCACCACCGAATTCAGATGTCTAGTTAACGTGTCCATTTACTCTACTCCAGCCATGGTTTCACCAACGAATGCCTTGGGTTCTGCCCTCTGATCGTTACTTTGATACTTCCTTCGGTTGGCGTGACAGAAGGTACTGAAATTTCCGGTAAATTTATCAGCAATAGACCGTGTACCATGAGCACATTATTTGCAGCTGCTACCGTTTTATTCACCATAGAGTGGGACAGTTTGGGGCATACATCCAAGCCTTTGAGGCGACAACATGCTCGGTCCAGTAACTGCTAGCTACGCACTGAAGACTATAGCTTTAATGCAAGCACGCCATTGACTGCGCAGTTTGACAATTCCTGCCATTATTATTGTTAGATGGGTCCCCGGGTCCCCATCCAGGGAGGCGGGAGTCATCCACCCTACTCAGGTTACTGTTCCCATACTTCGCTGCCAGGTCATACGCTGTCCACATCTCGGTCGCTTCCACTCAGCACAGGGCTGGGAGGAAAAGCTCTGCGAGGCAGACGGTTTTCTGGCATGTGGAATACACGTCCTAACCAGCGTAACCTATGAAGCGTAAGCAATTCTTCTATAGTAAGAGAGTTCTTTCCTTGTAAAACCATCCGGCTTACCTCATCATGGTAATCCGATGTTCCCACCAGACCCAATCGATGCTTCGGAGACATAGATGGTCAAACACTGACATCTTTTGTATGTCCTTTGTGCATAGAGGCCACGTGTATAGTCCATAAGGCTTTATGGACCACACCGCCGCAGTGTAAACACTACCCTTGACACAAACGTCACGTCGGCGCCATAGATGTCGGAGGTTGGTATAAGCTGTTTTGACTTTCCCGATTCGATAAATAACTTCATCTTCAGCCAGTCCATCGGAGCTTATACAACTGACCAAACAAACATATTCATCTACCACATCCATTGGTTCGTCTGAAAACATGAGGTTCGTGTTTGATCCCACCCAGTTTTGTAGCAGCACTTTACATTTTGCAGGTGTAAAGCAAATTCCAAACCATGCGACAGATTTATTTAGGCTATTTAAAGTGGTTTGAATTTTTGGAGGATCTGAACCAAGGAGAGCTATATCCTCCGCCTACTCAATGTTTGAGTGAAGGTCCGGGGATCATTTCGACTCGGGGGGTTTCAGGTGCAGGCGGGTAAATTTCAAGCAGCACATGAATAGCAACGTTGAAGAGGAAATGCGAGAGAGGGCAGCCTTGTTATATATATATATATTACGAAGGCACATGTTTGTCGGCAGGTGCCGTCGAAGTTTCTGACGATCGAGAGAACCAAAAGCAGTCCTCAACTCAAGAAAAACGAACAACGTAGTACGTCTGAAGAGTGGCGCTGTTTAAGAACCTCAAGATAAGGAGATTCCCGATGCATCCTCCGCCATAGCGAAACTCAGGTTGATTCTCACGAATCTCGCGATAATCGATCAACCTGCGCGAAATAATGCCAGAGCACCTTAGATGCAACAGATACCAGGCTGTTGTCACGGTGATTTTCACACGACGTTCTTGCGCTTTTTTAAAGACAAATTAGAGCTTCATTCGATTGGTATTTTTGTTCCAAATCTTGTGCAGTATGGAGGTCAGCTTGTTCACCAGAACCTCACCACCTTCTTTCAAGAGTGCGGGTCTCCAGGTACCTTGTCGCGTTGGAGGATTGATATTTCTTGTTGATGGCGTCCATGTTCCATTCAGGCTCACTGGGTCCTAGCGGTTGTAATGAGGGAGATCAGCGGAACCGTTCTTTGACGTGTTCAGACCATTGCTCGGGAAGACGACTGAAGGAGTGAATTGCCGTTCCGTCTTTGCATATCATTCCGCTGACACTTATCCGCTTTTGACCGACTGGTGGAATCAGGTGAAATAAGACGCGGCTCTTGCCTGCAAGGAAATCCTTCTGCATCTCTTGGGCCTTCTCCATTATTCTTCAACCTCCCGATTATCCGGTGTTTGAGAGATCTGCACGCGCCATCACATTCGATAGCTGCTGGTATACCTTCGTAGCAACAATAACATACGCTGATCTCGATGGTGGTCTGCACGCAGTTGAAGCAGTCGCTCCACAGCATCCGTACGCTGAGCATCGATTCCAACCTACCACATAATTATTGGCTTCTTCCAGATTTAGTCGTCCAACTTGAGCATCCATATCACCCTCCAGGGTTACTATTTCTGTCCTTGCTGATCGAAGCGATCGTGATAGGTTTCAGTAAAACCCGTCCTTCTTAGTCTCAGAACCTCAGTCTGCCAGGGCGTACACGACAAATAACACCGCTTACCGGATTGACCTGCATTGATCTCAATTGAACCCGACAACCGCACAGCGCAAACAGGACTTTTTACTGGGATCCAGTTCAGCAAGGCGCTTTCAGCGCTGTGGCTGAGTGCAACTCACATCGTATATACCAGGAGCCATTGCGTCAGGATCACCGGATATCCGAAGAGTGCAACGTGGGACATCTGAGCTTATCCTAATTGGCGTGAGGTGCTCGACCGATGTGGGATCTTAAATGCCTGTTTCGGGGACACAAAATACTTCGACAGACAGAGAAAGCAATGTTTCAGCAATTCGACATTAAAGGCTGCAACGTAGATCAGATCTTTTGGGGTTAGTGAGTATTTTTCTATTTACCTTGGTGATGGTTTCGGCTCGGAGAAAGGGCTAGGGGGCTGACAGGTGGGTTGGCTGTGCTCCATCATTTGGTGCGTGGAGATAGATTGTACTGGAGGGCCGGTGGGCGAAAAGCTGCAAGAGCGAATGATGCTTCGCAGTTGCCCAATCCGAAGAAGGGGTTTTGTTGAGGTACCTCTCCTTGAGCGTCTGACTCACAATTCTGACCCACAAGGCAGCGAGAGGATGTAGGGTTTTGTTCGGGGACCCTGCATTCAGTTTCTAATTCAAAAATTTGAACCGCAGGGTAGTGGCTGTTAGGGTTTTCTTGGGAGACTCTTCCCGGAGCCAATGACTCACTAGTCTGACCCACTTGGCTGCAGAAGGCCGGCCTGGTCCGAAGATGCAGGTAGTTAGGTATTGCTGTCTCGTTGCTACGCACAGCAGGGGCGTTTTGAGCAACACCGGACTCTGTGGTTTTAATAGTATTTCGACGCATTGAATAATGCGCCGGCGGTCACGATCAATTGGTGGGCGACCAGTGTGCAGATCTTGCGGCTGAGCTTTCTTAATCCGTTCTTTCTCAAAGGAACGCAGCATCGCTGCTTCCATAAATATGGACATGCTGGTCACCTTCACACCTCCATCTTAGGTGACAGTACGACTTTACTTTCAGATTGCCTCCCAATACGGTTACTCGCAGAACAGGGATCCGGCCAGTATATCCCGAAGGATCATTGCAGTACAGAAGCCCGATCACCGCGATAAGCTGAAAGCTTTAGGTCAAGGTCCCGTAAGGGTCTTATGGATGATCGATCTACAGTGCTTTCGCACCAGCACCATGAGGAGCCCTAGTCACTTGAAATCCAAACTTCCAAGCTCGGTCTGCCTCGTACATACCTTCCCCAATTCCGGTACCGCATTTGTACATGGGAGTCAACATTTGTATGTCGGGTCAAAGTACAGCCGCCCATCCGCCCCATCGCCATCCATATCCCGATAGTTTATTTGTGACACTGAAGGGTTTTATGTGGGCTCTTCCGGGAAGGGGATATGAAAAGGTTTACACTGCGGGGCCAATATCATCAGTTGGGTGGTCAACAATCATCCGTTACCTCTGTGAGTCTGTTTGGTAGGGCTTGTGACAGGTTGCACAATGCTACGCAAACAACTTAGCTACTTTTATGGCTCTTCATTATGTTCAAGGGAACTACATTTCTAACGTGGAAAGCCCCACACCGCGTGAGGTGTCCTGTTAAAGGTCCGGTATCGTGAAAGTCTTCAAGTGTACTAATGCCTTATCGTTGATGCGACCCAAATAATTGACCATCTTGGGTTGAATTCTGTAGGGATCGACAATTGTGAATGCTTGCAGCTGGTGTTTACTGACCTCAGACTGCATTTCACAGCACGAGCTTAAGAGACACGGGGACGCCCTACCCTCACTGTTCCTTTCAACCCTGACTGGACCGCGAGGCTCAATTTCATCACATCGCTATCAGTTTTGTAGTCTCTATGAGGCTTATGGCACGAGTGTCTAACCAAAGCGTCCTTGATTCTAGGCCATATCACAC